GTTTCATTGTCAGCGTGTGGGCAGTTCCATTCATTCATCCACCCACCGAAGCAAGGCGTAATTTAAAAGATTCTAAAGGTTATCCGTACATATATATTATATACTCGCACGCACTCGCGAGCATGCGCGATCCCAGAATCACGAGTAATCGATCGAAAAAGGATGTTCATTAATTTCATGTAGGCGTAGAATTGACTTTAGCGACAAGATAAAATCGAGCGAGGGTGTATATCCCGCTATTCGCATCGGAAGGGCGAGGCAACGATCGGGTGAGGCTCCCTCGCATGATTTGGGGCCAATTAGGGCCGGCGTTGAAGCCATTAATCCCTTTTGGTAATTTGTCCGTACCCGGAATTGATTTAAGACCGACACGTGGATCGAAGGTAAGACGAATGACTCTGTGTAGGCCACGAGAAGAGGTGACGTGTCAATTAAGCTACCCTACAATTCACCGGAAAATTATGTACAGAGGCCACGATACGCACGCATGATACGATAAATCACCGCCGGTTTCTCAAATGGTTTTCGATTTGATGATTATTTATGCGCGTCGATAACGTATCGCGCGACGTTGCTCGGCCATTAAATATACGATCGCTCGATAGCCATTTAATCGCGTTGCTCAAACTCGTTGTCAAATATTTCGCAAAATGTCTAAGTAGATTCCACGACTTTATGCACATTTCATTTGAATATCCATGTTATATCAGCAAGGCTAATAAGAGAACGAAGATTTCTATAGAAATTTACATTTTTAGGTGTTTCTGAAGAAATCTCAACCGAGATTGGCTGCCTCTTTCTTGGCTATATCCTTTACCGGTTCGACCGTCAGGTAGAAAATTCATATTGCGATCGTGCGAGTTTCTACCTGCTCACCTGGGAACGTGTGCCTCGGGAAAACTTTGCTCTTTATCTGTCGAGAAGAATTCCAGTCTCCTTTTCATATTTCTTTTTCTTGTCCTCTCTTTATGTGGTATCTTTCTTTTCTTTCCTCTTTCCAGTTCAAACTTTTTATAGTCCAAATATTATCTTTTCCTGCTTTTTATCTTCTCCCTTCTTATCTTTTTATTAATTGTTACTAATGTGTATTTTGCATTGATCAATTCTTTTTGTATACTTTCTTTGTTTGTGGTTTAAAAAACCTATATATCTTAAACTATCAACACAAATAAATAATCAATATATATATTTTCGCGTTAATGTTTGCGTAAAAAATTCAATAATTTTCCTGCAAAAGCAGATTCAATTAATTTCTCTCAAAATTTCTATTTCTTTTAAGTTTAACTCACATCCGCAGCAATATCGTGCGAATGTTACAAGTTTTCTTGTTTTTTTTTCGCCTCCATTTTATCCATTTTATCAAAACGCCAAGTGTCAGAGTTCAACACCTCCGGTAATAAAGAACGACACCTCGATTGGTATCGCGTAAACCGAGTGGCCGGTCCAAGGTGAAACCATGCAAAACAAAGAGAAATCTCCTGGCGAATTATGCAGATCGGGTGCATTAGCATTTGCTTAGCATACACCCTGGTTGTTACACGACCCTATACTACGGTATGGACTTTCTCATGTGGTTACCATAAAAAAAAAATAGAGGTATCTAAACCCAATGGATCCAACAATTGGTCTCTCTTACACGGCCTCGCCCTTTCTTAAAGTCGATCCCACGGCGGTTTACTCTCTCCGAATTGAATTAAGCAAATTTTTCCACATTAATGCTAATTTCTCGATAACACAATGCATTCGCGTGATACAATTCGAACCTTAGTAGCAATTGATTGACGTTTAATGATCAATGCCTTTAATTCAAACCGTGCACGGTCGCGAATAATGAAAAGACTAAAACTACAACGAGAACGTGACATGATCTGAGTCTTATTTCGTAATTAATTTAATGTTTTGTCTAAATTACGTACTAAAGACTAAACTGCAGTGAATTGTGTAATCTAAATAGCTCTCTTTACGAAGCGCGATACGCTGTGTAGAGCCCACAAGAATCGACAGGTGGTTTCTGCTAGTAGATGCGAGGAACCCTGTCCACCTTTCCTATATCGCTCACGAATTTTGTAAAAGGTCGAGCGTAACGCGGCAATTACGCGAACGCGGAACCCTTCCGTAAAAGGGAAAACGCACGTTAAGGAATCGTGTTCATTCTCAAGGTCGACCGGTATCCTACCGGCTCCTGCCGCAGCCTGCATAACGCGTTTCTATTACGCGGTCAATTGCAGCGATTGTTGCGTGTCTCTCGCAATCAGTGGCTCTCGGTCTACACGTGCTCCGTATCGCGCGCATTGGTCCTCCATCCACTTTCCTATATCTTATCTGCACTTTTGAAGAGCTCTCAATCCGTTTATTTCAACGGTATTAAAAAAAGATTTGATGAGTTGTGCGTTACATATTTTAATCGTGACAAATTGATCTCCTATTTTTAGTAGTTTTGTTTTCAAGTTTTTCTGTCGTTGATAGCGGAAATCTATCATCGCCATTGCTTTAATCACGGGCAAACCTCGATTTCACCGTCTCGCCCGACGGGCGGAACTAATTTCTCGAAAAATTCCGCTTGGTACCCGCTCACAAAGAAGGTTGGACGATCTGCCCTTCCTTAAACCAGTTATCGCGACACAACGGTTTCTTTCGGGGCTGATTGCGCGCACGAAAATGGCGTAATCATCGTGATTAACGAGGAAACCATGTCGTCGTCATCATCGTTCTCTTTCGTCGCTGAGCTTCTAATTGGAACACGTCGGCGTTGGCGAGACTGCGGTCACCGCGCACGTATCGGAGAACGAGGTAACACATTTGGGTCGACGCACGAAACCTCTGCATGAATGCTTGCGTGTTTATACGCAAATGAATATGTGGATGCGTTATTTTGTACATATATAAAATATATGTACGACACTCGACACGCACAACAGCAGTTATCACGAACTTTTCTGCAAAACAATGGCGTTTCAGCGACGCGTTTCTGCTCGAGCGTGCTCGCCGCTGCGGATGGTGTTATCAAACATTCGGGAATGCTTTAATTGTGCCTTTAATTGAATCGACCTCACCTCTCCGGGTCAACAGCATCGAAGGACTCGACGTCCTTGGCCACAACCGGCAGATGGTCGGCAAGACGTTGGTCGGTGCAATCCGGCTCACGGTGCACACCAATGCTGGTATGTGCATTCGTGCCCGTACGATCTAACTTACGAGGCAACATCTCGTTTCTTTCAAACCTGGCCGCGAACAAGAGCAAAAAGATACCCGGGCGCCTTGAGTGCCTCGACGACCGAGAATTTCCTCGGGGATATTGTCGCGACTTCTCGCGCCGGAACGTTCATACCGGACGCCTCGCTTGCTCGTTGCTCTTCTTCTTTCCCCTTCTTTCCTTTTTTCTCTTCGGCGTTTTCATTTTCGATATTACATCCCAGAAAGGTCGGGATGCATTAACCGGTACTTTATGCGCCTCGTGAAAATTATTCCCGATTCACGATTGTAAATAATGCCATTGTGATCACGCTCTCGTGGACCGTTGCGCAAGCATGCTGCATGCGTGCACACTACGTGAACGCTTATCCTGCACGGCAAAGCGCATTTCAGCGTTACGCATAAATGTGAAATTATGTAAGTACTGCATAAGCGTGTAATAAGTGTAAACCAATACGATATTTTAGTAGGACTTTACGAGGCGATACCTACGTGGGCGCCGCGCGTTGTAAGAGCCCGGAATAATTTTTATGAAGAGGCACGCGCGTGTTCGGCGCTGTGTTGGCAATAGATAAGCATCCATAAATTTCTGCCGAAACGATAATCTGTTATCGTTAAGCGTAATATAACTTTCCTTTCAAGTGGTGTGTATGATAAACTTGAGAAATTTAAGAAACCCGCGACACGCCCGCGTGAGCTACGCAATTAAATAAAAATTTTTCCGGCAATCACAGTTAGGAAATTACGATGGATCGCAAAAATTTACTCATAAACATTTGATGATTACTCTGTTGCTTTTTGTAATCTAAAAAGCGCAAAGCTTCAATCGTGCGAATTAAATTAATATTTATATGCTGATTTTGAGACAATTAATGTTTACTCCGAAAAGTCGGCTTAATCCGCTTGTTAACGTTATTGGTAATTTTATCAGGAGAGAGTGACGTATGATCGTATGATGCTAATATTGCAAAACGATACGCGGTTTAATTAGACATTATTTAATAGCTCGATATATCCTCCGGCTATTAAATAATGTACATACCCTGACATCTAGCAAGCGTTATGAATCATTCACGACGTCGCTTTATCACTTTCTGTGGATTTCGTTGTGATTGATACTAATTTGTAATTCCACGAGAAAAATATCATCTTCCTTCTATGCAGATCAAAGGTTTTTTGTCTTTTAAACCTCCACATATGTGAAGCAAAAAATTATTCTCTTTTATACCGCATTTATAACTTTGTAGCAAACCTTGATTTATACAAATTAATTCCCGTCCTCTCGTCATTTTTAATGTTGGGCGAGCCTCTTTAATTAAACTCCGACGCAAGAATTCGCTACGCCGCGTGTCTATCTATTAATTGAATTCCTAATCGCTAATTCGTAGACCTAAGAAAGGAATTTAAAGCCGATGCTCGATTAAGCTTCAATTCGAATCGGCGCAAATTTAGCGCGCTGCGTATCGCAAAGTACGGGCGGGATAACGCGATCGAGAACGGCGAACGAAGAAGAGGGATAATAGACATAGATTATAGCAGTCTTAAGGGCTTCTACGGCGCGGAGGAACGAAGGAGCGGGCAGGCGCTCGGTCGTTTGCCTTGGATTGCCTTCGAACCGGCGGAGCACCGGCGCGGCGGAGCGCGCCCGATCCCGATTCCGATCCCGGCTGGTTTCCGCCGCGCATTCCATCCAGTCGAATCGGCCGCGATCGGCTCCGCCCGCCGATCCTCGGCCGTCCTCGGCCTTTCTCGGTTACCTCGCGCGGCGCCGTGGTCGGCTAACATCGGCAACAGTCGTGCAACGGCGCTCGCGCGGAATGGATCGCGGGCCGTGTCTTTTATTACGAACGCGCCGATAGAATGTCTCCGTCAACATCGTCGCGAGACGTTAGAGACGCTCATATGTGGACTGATAACGTCCCGGTCGACGGTATTGCGTGGTGAATCGCCGCTCCGGAATCACGGAGAGAAAGAGAGAAAAGGTGAAGGGAAGTCGAAGGGAGTATATCGGAGAAGAAAAAACCCATCCTTTCTCACGCGCGTGGCTCTCGAGTGAGCCAGCGCCAGCGTTCCGACGTGTGACGTGGTGTTTAATGTACAGTGGGTGGTGCTGATTCCTTCGTTCCTCTCGCGCTTCGATTTATCCCCCATCGTTGTCTTTCTCGGATCTTAAGGACTCCGCCTGGATCGACCTGGAGCACCGGCCTCTCCCTGCGACAGTAGCGGCATAGCAACGACGATCGAGCGGTGCGGAGCTGCAGCCGTCTTCGTGCATCAACAGGTGGGGACCAGCTACAATATCAGCTTCTATGTTTCTTCACTTCTTTCTCGCCAACACCTGCGCGTTTCGCGCCAGGTGGCGGCGAGGACTCACCCGTCTTTTAGTCGTAAGGGTTTCTAGGCGATACCTTAAGCCTTAAGGCTCGAAGAAGCCTGCTGCTCCCAAAGCGCATTCGCACCTGTCCATTACTACGGGTACTCTCTCGTGTTTCTTTCGAAAGCGCGATAAGCTGATACCACGTGCTTGATGGAGACACGTCATTACATAACGGATATACTTGTGCGCGACGACTTGGCCCTGTCTGCTCCGTGTTTCATGCTTCACTTCATTAAGCAAATTCTCCATTCACGAGTCGCAACAAGAACTGTGTATAAATCTCTGATATGGCCCTCGCACACATATTTAATTTAATTTCATTTCAGCGAAGAAATACGCGAGTTGTTCGCACGAATATTATCGCGACCGTTCGCAAATTTAATAATCACGCCGTCTTCGGTGAATTTAATGGCACGATTAAAATTCGGCGCGCTCCACATGTGCTCCGAAATAGTTACAGACTTCCTGAACGCGTAACGGTTTCGGTTTTCGGTTCGTATCGCTCTTCTTTTCGCGAGAAGGAAAAATGGCGGTGCGAATTTCAAGAAATCATTCTTCTACCTGAGCAAATTCTAAATAGCGATCCCTACCGGAACTCCTGGCTTGCGCATTTTCGTTCTCCACGCGAGATACACACAATCCCGAAAATCGTCGGTGTTACCGGTGCTCGATCGCGACTTCTGAACGGGAAAGCAACACCGTACGGCGTGCACGTTCTCCGTGGAAGATGTGTACGGTGTATCGGACGTGGACCGTCATTAATATAGCGAATCTCGAAATTTCCAAGGAACCTTTTTCGACGTACCGACCGGTGCGTTGAACCGATTTTCCGGTTGAATCCATTGTTTCGTTCGTGGCCTCGGCGTAACTTTCTTCCGAAGGAGACGATCGCTCCTCGCTCGAGCCCGAAGAAGGCAGTCGCATTCGCAAGTATAATCAACGAGTCACTACTTCACCGAGTATAGGTTGTTGACTTGCGAGTCTCCTCTCAAGTCGCGTCAATTTTTAAATAATATAAACACGCGAGCGTTGTTTGCGCGCGCGCGCGCTGTGGCGCAGCGATGGCCTTGACATCAGGTCGATACCAAGGCTGGTGCCTTGACCTTTTCCGCGCCTTCGTAGGTTGCTTCTTCGGTACGGCGAACGGCGTGGATAAGCGTGATATCGACGCGCGCCATGCCGCCGCGTCGCGCGGCCGCGTGAATCGGAGCGAGAGAGGATTTATTAAATTCTCTACGAATAGAGGAGGTGTGCGCTGTAACAGGATTAAATTGCGAGTGGTAATACAACGTGCGAATATAATTGTGTGAAAGTAGTTGCGCGGATAGATAGTCGATCTTAACGAATGCGCGATCGGGTAGGAGAAGTATTAGCTATTATGTGCTAATTCTCAAATTGAGATTTAGGTTGAACTCGTAAAATAAAATTTAGACTATAGTTGCTTACGTGTTTTGATTGTGCGACTAAAAAAGAAAAAAAATTAATTATAATTTTTATATTATTGTTAAGACAGGATTAAATTGAGAATATTAAAAATATCAGAAATACGAAAACATAATTCTCGTTAGTAAAATGTTTTATGCAATCATAATATAAATTTTTATTGTCTGAAATTAATGGTTCCGAAACTACTCTAAAATTTAAGACATAACACAATTTCATTATCCAAGTTTGCAAGTCCATCGCGAATTGGAGCAAAGAAAAATTAATTAAATTAATCTTTGAATCAGTGTACTGGAACGGAATCATATTATGAATGATTTAAATTATGTGGCTCACGTAGTAAATATATGTAATTAATAAAATAGGGATATATATACACTGACTGCTAAATATTATTAAATTCAGCAGCGTAAACTAAATTAAAACTATAAAATTTATTTATATTCTGTACGTAGAATTAGAAAAGACTATTTTACGTAAAGAGTGATGAAACAGTAATAAATGCCAATTTGCCGGATGCTCATATTGGTATATTGATTATGCATATTATACTGCGAAATGTAAGCCATTTGAAAAAAATTTTACGCAAGAATAAAAGTGTCACTTTCGATATATTATTAGCCAGTTATTCGTGTTCACGCCGACAGTTGATAATTATAGAAGTGGTTGCGCAATTGCCAATAAAAGTGTTTGCACGTCTGGTAACAAACACGTCGGGCAATGTAGTTCGATTTCGATAAGCGTATTAGCCGGTGCGACGCATGAAAAATCGTTACGAATACCGGAACAAAGATTCGTTACGGCTAATACGTTTTTCCGTACAGGTATTCGTGCACGCAATAGAAAGTTCCTCTCATGAATGGAGAGGAACTACCGAGCAACTATACCTCTAAGAACCGAGAATTCTGCCGTATAGTCCGACGCGTCAGACATTGATGTAGGTAGCTACCTGTAATAATTATGGCTGGCCAAGCCATTCCGACACATACCAAACACACCCGGGGAGACCTCCAAATGTAACGCTTATTAAAATACCATCATTAAACGCTTCAATCCTTCGTGAAGGGGCTACAGTGAAAGTGGCTGCGTACGCGAGCTATCGTGCCCTTTGACCATGGAAACATTACTATTACGTGCATTGAAACATTTGAAACTATTAACCTTAGAATGATGAAGTAATATGATTTTATGTATAATGTGAGGAATTACGCGATATAACAACTTAGCAGTAATATTAATTGAGTTTATCATTTTTACAATAAGAAGGATCGATAATTGATAAAATAATTATTACGTTACATTTCACGCATACGATTAAGTTTTAATTACTTTATTTTCTAGCGATAATTTTGAAGGAGTATTGTTAAAAATATCAGTTTATTTATTAACGCTCCTATAAGCTGATTATAGGTATTATAATAAACTTGACTTTTAAAATAGAAAAAAGATTTAAGATTTACGCAAGGGTTTTATCTTGAGTACCTGCTTAGCCTGCTGAGCTAAATTTAGTTTGTTTCCTTTAAAGGAAAAAGGTTTTCCGTCCAAACATTTTCTGAAAAGTAGGTTTTGGCAGAGTCTATAGTATTCGTTGTCCCTTTTTGATGATCGATTTCTATAATTCTACAGGATTTTTGAACAGTCATAGTCTTGTAGTCGACGGTTTCTAGGCAAGATAATCTTATTCAAAATTTAAAAATTCCAACGTCGTGTGAAATGGATATGGCTAAAGAGGAGAGAGAGGAAACGTACGAAACGAACGTAGGTGAAACGCTTGAAATTGCCTTGAAATCGCGCGCGTATTACTCAAGAACGTTCCACGGGAGGCTCCTGAAATTATGTGAACCTGCCGTGCTCATTCGTGTTTAACGAATGTAGGCTTCCGTTCTCCTAGTTACATCTCTTCGATTATTAGATGGAAGATCCACTTGGACTGAAATACATTCCCTCGCGAAGATCAGTAGTCGCTTTCCAGGTCGTCCATGCGGAATAACGTGATCTATCCCAATGATTATATAGGCTCTGTCCCAGCTAAGAAGATCATTACGTTGAAAAATGACTACCGACTAATGGAACGACCTACGAATGGATCAGTTCGTACTAATGGTTTTTGGTTACACGCGACATTTACTCGGCTTAACAATGAAAAAAATATATGTATATTTCAACAATTATTATAATATTTTTAAATTGAGAAGTCATATATGGAAATTTCGTCTGGTATACCGGCGTATCTCTCGACCACCCTGGACGACATAATGCATCGATTAGGTATTCGACATCGTTCATTCGCCGCATTATTCCTAAGGGTAAGGGCAAAAAGCAGCACATTAAATCGATTTCGTTGGCATTATGCATTCGAGAATAGCGAAGGACTGCGATCGAATGACTGTCTAGGCCGTTTATCTCGGTGCATCTTGAATATTTTCCTCATCGCATATCTCTATCCGACCGTCCTACCGTTTCGTGCGTACTACTGTGGCAATATGCCGATAGACATTGCAACCGGATGTCCTTCGTGTCGAGAAAGAGAAAGAATGGAGAGAAAGAATAAGGTGGCATCGATGAGAAGGGAATGAAGGTTATCTATTTATCGGGGGTAATCCATTTTGCATTAATATTCTTGTTTGGCAGGCAATAGCCATTGAAATTGCGAGCTTCCCGAGCGGGCATAATCGACGATTGGCCCATAATCTTGGGAATCAACATGAAGGGGAGGGGGGAAGGGTTAAACGAGGAATGAGCATGGAGTTCAAGAAGCGGAAGAGCGCGAGGGAAGGACGATGGAAGAGCATATACTGCCGCGAGATATCGGCCGCGTGCGCCTCTAAACATTGTAAATCGTGAAAAGCGGACGCATGTAAATCCCTGGAGAAACGCACGTACCTCGCGGCGGTAATGAGCGACCGGGGTAAATGTTGGAAAGGCGTTATTACCGGATCGCAATTGCTATTTCAGAAGTAAAGCCATTCTTTCGTATGATGATCAGACAGACCGGGATCCGCGATGTACTTATTACATGCACGGAAGTACAGCTTCCAGTTTTTCCTCCTTTTTTTCGGTGCTTTGTAAGCTGCACCGTACAATTTCGGAGTACATCCCCGCTGTGAAAGGAGCAAAGACAGATCAGTAGCGTCGAATATCACGCCCCGAATAACGTCTATCCAACCGTCTCCGACCGATGAGCTACCTGATGTCTCACTAATCGGATAATTTATCTGTTTCGGAATGTGAACACGCGATCTTTACCGTTTTAATCCATATTTTACCGTACAGTGTAACGACTAAGATGAGAGAGAGTTGCGGAACGACACTTTCGTTCGCAGGACTTGTCCTGCGTAATTTTGTTCTGAGTAATTTACTGTAAAAGACTGGAAACGAGCATTTTTCTGACACATTGATGTTAACATCTCTTCAGATTAATATCAGTGTTCTAGTTGTAGCTTTCTTCTTACTGCAGAAGT